TGCGTGCTTGCGTGCTTGCGTGCTTGCTTGCTTGCTTGCTTGCTTGCTTGCTTGCTTGCTTGCTTGCTTGCTTGCTTGCTTGCTTGCTTGTACTGTTGGTTGGTCGGCATGTAGGTAGGCGGCAGTATGCGGTAGGCCGCTTGGCCGGCCGGTCGGTCTCTTTATCGGTCGGTATTCCATATAAATATGGAAATCAGTGTATGCAGGTGGCGAAGTGGTGATCCTGATGTTGGTGAGGACCTTTGCAGCATCAACAGCAACACAGGCGCAATACCTTTCCCATCCTCATGTGCTCCAGCAGCAACAGCAACAACATTAGCAACGAATGCTCAACAATCGTCAAAGTTGAGCCAGAATCTTATGGACCAAGCTCGCTGGGCGTAGTGGTCGTAGTGATGCTAGTTGTGGTGGTTGTCGAAGTTGCAGTGGTTCTGGTGACGACTGTGCTAGCCTCTAATTCGTTGTTGTCCGACAAACAGGAGGGAGTTGTGACTTTGATTCAAAAACCCGAACAGTCATCGTTATTTCAAGGTTCTTCCGCGACTACCTCGCCAAAGTAGCCGAAGCTGTGGAGGAAGGCATCCCAGTCCAAGGCTCCCTGTACAGTCTGGGTTCTTCGATGGTGCTAATGGCTTCTAGGGCCCAGGATTTTGGGGTTGGGTTCTTGTGGCTTGTGGTTGAGAGCGGTGTCTTAGAGGACTCCTCCAGGACAGTGGCCTTCTTATCCGCTCAACACCGCCGCACTGCTTGGTTGTGTGGCACAGGAAGGCTTGCATGTTGCACTTCTGAACCAGCTGCCATGCTTGGAGATTGAGACCACGCCAAGTGCAAGCGTGGGATTTCAAGCGCCCCTACACCTAACCCCAAATCGTGTTTCAGGATACGTCGTGTGGTCGCTGCTGGACAACTTTGAGTGGGCCGACGGCTTCTCCCGGAGGTAGCTTGGCTTTTGAAGTCAAGCTGCGAGATGTCTCTCGACGGGAACTTGAGCTACAGAATCCTTTACTCATGCTATAGTGTACCTCAACATCCTGTTCTAAAGGCGGAAGGCTTCATACAGGGTCTGAAACGACATGCCCGGATGCGGCGATGTCAACCCCACGTTAGTAGCACAGGTTATTTGTCCCGGCACTGCAAAGTTTCATTGAAGGCCAATCAGGTGCAGTAAAGACTGATTCATCAACCGTTGGGCACTGCAAGATCACGGCTCATCGTCGTCACCATCAGCATCGATGTCACCATCAGCATCATAGTCACCATCAGCACCAGCCAGCAGTCAGCAACACCCGACCTGGTTAAAGCGTTGGCGACGGTGGCTGAATCCTAGTGGTCCTAGTGGTGCGAATGCCCTCGGCTGTGCCGCCATTTGGCTGACAACTTGCACTCTTGATACCATTAGTGTGGAAAACTTTCGAAATGGTAAGACTTTTAACACAGCAGGAAGCCGGCATCGAAGCAGTTCAGAGTTCGCTCAGATGACATCTGAAGACACCGGTCTCGAAGTGTCAAGGTGTTTCCGAGGGCATTCAGTTCAAGCCCGAGTTTAAGCTTCATGTTTGGGTTGACATGTGAGGGTTCTTGTCCAAGCATGACAACTCGCATCTAAGCCTCTCTGAGCCTTCAATCCTCAGCGCTAAACCCCATCTTGCCGAAGCCCCGAGCAAACCCTGACCGCTCTTCAGCAGCTACTTACCGACATGACTGAATTTCGGTGTGGTGGGCAATTCCAGGGTGTTTTAGTTTGAAAAAAGTCATCAGGGTTCGAAGAGCGAGGTTGTTTTGACACGGTTTTTGCGCTTCAATCTAGCGGCCTTTTTGAAGAGTTGGGCCTCGCGGTATCGCTGGATCCATCTCACGCGTCCTTCACCCAGGTTTGGGCTGACTTACGTTGACTTTGGCACCCAGCTGCTGGGAAAGAACATGCGCAAGGAGGAATCGCAGTTGTCAGTAGGAAGAACAGCAGTCTTCACAATGTTGCAGTGCTATGGAGTGATGGTGCTAGTGACTGCGAGTGCTGACCAGTGACTGCGCAGCTAGAGTAACCGGTGCCCGTGGTGGCAGCAGTCGTTGTCGCAATAGTTTTAGTCGCAGTTGCAGTAAAGTAGCTGCAGCAGCTGCACCAGCAGCAGAAGTCGTCGTCGTAAGATTGGTGCTAGTACCAATACCAGTACCAGAACCGGCAGGCTACTACCACCACTACTACTGCTAC